ATAATTATATTTTCAGAATGACATAATTTTTTTTTTTTCAAACATAGTCTGTGGGTTAAAACGCCCCCATTGAGCAATTACTGTAGTTATTCTGTTCTGAACATCAAATCCTTTGTTTTTCCATCAAATGCATTCTAACTAGTTGGTTGAATAAAAATATTTGGACTTTATATTTAAAAATTACCTCAAATTAACATCAGGTAGCTTGTTAGCTAGCCAGTTAGCATCAGCTAACAATTTTTCAAATAGGCTATAATAATTTTGAAATTCATAATTATTGATTATATTCTTTTTCATTTTAAGCTAAAACTGCCTGTACTCTGATTTTGCTATAAATGTTTAAAGCAAATTGCTTTGGCAGACTGGGGGGGCATTTTACCCCACCCATGGGGGCGTTTTACCCCACCTGCTGGACAAAACGCCCCCTTGGTACAAATTTAATTTTTGTTAAAAATAATAATAACATGAAAACTCTGGACATTTTTCATACTTGGTTTATAATTTATGTCATTGCCACTAAAACTATGATAACTTTTCTGAACACATTTAACATTTGTTTCACTGAAAAAAAATTACACGCTCCTTAAGGGGGGCGTTTTCCCCCACTCTACTTTACAGGTGCGGCTACTGGGCATGCGCACATCAAAGTAGCATAATTTTTGTCACACTGTACAACAATAATTACTGTTTTTGCATTATTGTTTAGGGTTGGGGTAGGTATAGACGTTAATAAAACAATCTAATAGAACATTTAATTTATTGTTAGTTTCCAGCCGTAGCTGTCGGACAAGATGGCGGATTCGGCGTTATGATTGGTCAGATCGCCCGTCAATCAAAGCTCTTTGCGAAGGGTCAATTGGATGATCAATGCCATCCTTAGACCTCTGCAGCAAAATGGCCCCAGCACCCACATTACTGGCATCCACCAGCAACTGAAAAGACTGGTCAAACCTTGGAGCTGCCAAAAATGGGAGCCTCTGTAAGGAGCATTTTTATTTTTTCAAATGCTTGCTGACACACCGGGGTCCAGCAAAAAACTACTACTCCCCTCAACAAATTTATCAGGGGCACAGCCACAATTATTTATTCATGACTTATTTATCCATTTCCTTTTTGCTTTATATTTTTAACAAGCATTTAAAAATATGAATAATACAATTATTTAAAAAGAATGGATGAAATTTTATTTCACTTCAGGTCTAGCACACTGAAAAATGTATGTATGTAACCCTCGTTCCCTGAAGGAGGGAACAGAGACGTCACATCGGAACCTTGGGCACATAGCCGGGCCAGGGCCTCAGGATTACCTGGGATTCAGCCGGCCCAAACTCTAGGCATGAATTGTCGACTGAAAATGCGTGCAGGTCCCCTACCCTTAAATATAGGCCTATAGCACAAAAATAGAAATGAAATGATGCTTTAGGTTTTTATGTT